GTTGTTGTTTTCGTTGCGTTGGTCAGACGCGCCAACAAAACATCCCAGTGTGACGCAAAATGTCTCTTTGTTTTGCTGGCCGGACAGTGTTTGCCAAACATGTTTGGAGGAAAGTGCCCAGTGTGCCGCCGCCTTTAGCAACGCATCCAGATTATTTTTTTGGTGTGTGTGGGGGGCGGCAGTGTTGGATTATCCAGCCCTAAAACTGTAGGAGGTGCCAAGAACACGAGACAGGCTCATTAACCTACAACAAGCTCAGATAATGACATTTTCTCCGGGGAGTCAAGGGACCTTTCATCATCGTGGGAGATAAACGGGAAATTTCACCGCTGATGAGCTTGCGCATTTTATTATTGGGGAAATTATAGGCGAGAGCACCCCTCCCCCTCTCCCTGACCTGTCCTCCCTACCACACTCACGCCAGTCACTCACACACTCAGTCATATTCATACGGTATTTACACTCACTCAAACTCACAATCCCATCAGTCATATTCATATTTACATTCACACTCAGACAAACTCACAATCCCGTTCAAACTCACACCCAAGTCAGTCACTCACAAATCCACTCATATTAAAGTCACACTCACAGTCATATTTACAATCATACTCACAACCTAACAACAAATACAGTAAAAGCAGAGATCCATTTAACTGTAACTATATCATACACACCACCTTACCTGTATGTATGATAATTAATTAGGACCAAGTTACCAACCTGTAAGAAATAATATTCACAGGTGTGCTTTCAAGTTATCTACAGAGGCTTCATAAAATCATTACGATATACAGAGGTGTGGGAGGAGGAGGAGGAGACACGCCCAGGTAGTGACACAACGAAGAGTCAAAACGTGTACTTCAATTAGTGGTCGTGGAGCCAGACTAGTATATAGGGTGTCTCAGAAAAATGTCCCAGCCTCCCTCCAACTCAGTGTCTCAGGGAGCAGGGAGGCAGGGAGGGAGGGAGGGAGGGAGGGAGGGAGGGAGGGAGCAGGCAGGAAGGCAGGCAGGGAGAGAGGCAGGGAGGGAGGAACATTTTTGTGGGACACCTTATATAAACACCTAATTTGTCTCTATCAACTACGTGAAATGTTGTTTAAATTTTGATGGACGAGGTAATCTTACAGCCTTATGGAGGAGCACTAGGAGGATAACATATATCTTTGGTATAAAACACGTTACTTTAGCTAAAATAATTAACTTAAGATCAATATAAAACACGTATGGCAAGTTGGTCTTCTCCTAGTTGGCGGTTGTGAGTACAGGAGAACACAGCACCCGGAGACAACCTGACATGTTCGGTTGGGTTACACTGGACAACACACCGACCCTCATCCTGGTATATAAATGTCTCTTTCTAAACTAATAATAAACTACCCAGACATTTCACAAATCACCGACCAAGCCACAGTGTGCAGGACAATATACAGTATTAAATAAACTACGTTATGTTAAGACGATGAGCGAAATGAGTTAAGATCCCATTACCCCTGACGTCACAAGTTCTTATCTAATATACTGCACTTAGGTTTGTTGCGTATGGTTAGAATACAGAGAAATACACTCGATTAAGTTATGTGAGTTAAGATACATTAAATCTTAAACTATACAGCCAAGACAACACAAGGGGCTGTATGTAAAATTAGTCCTAAACTTAACAGCCAAACATCGCTTGAAATATCTATCTAACCCTTTATGTTTTATTCACTGTACAAACTTAAGCTATACTAGTACAGGTAGAGGTATTGTTAAATGATAATAATAACCAACACCACTCGCACTCTGGCTCAACGGAAACTCATAATGTCGCGATTCATTAAATATCATTCATTTATGTATCCCAACGCGTTAACCATCATAGAAAACGACGACTAAAGAATTAATTGCTTTTTATACAGTTTTGCTATTAATTACCATTGTTATGATTATTTTAATTATATATTGCTCGTTATTTTCAGTGAGGTGGAAACTCAAAGGCTGGGACTAATGTAGCCGAGAAAATAAAACAATTATAACAGCCGCCTCGGAAACATAACATGGTATACAATTTTGCGGGAATTTTGTCGCTAAAATATTATTCGGTTTTTTTTTATCTCAAGATTGTTGGGAGTTTTCAAAATAACAAACTACAGCACGAAAATATCTATATCTTAATAAAAGTAAATAAAGTATATTCCATTACGATATAGTTATAACGCCCAACTTCGCGGCATCGTTCGTATTATTCATCGCGAAATAATGATTGTTCAAACAAGAGCACGTTTTCCCTTGTTTCACATAATACAATTCTAATATATTTCATATAAACTTATTGTAATAATTTGGGATTCAATTTATGGGTTATAATACCAAAGTCATCATCCAGGGGCCTAGAATTTAACACTAGAAAACAAGCTAATGGGGACACTCACCAGTCAGTCGTTACGTCCGCCGCCCAGCTGTGATCACCATATTTCATTCACTAATTGCTTATTAAACGCTATATGTCCTGCATCACACCTGCCATTATCACACATAACACAATATAAGTTCACTGATGATAACGATATTCAAATGTTATTACAGTTGACGGTGTTATTGAAACGTAGCACCAAAACACAAAAACAAAAACATATTGACACCGTTTAACCTTAGGTGGGACTGAGGTGCTGTCTTCACCACCTCCTCCTGTCTCCTGATTGGTCACTTTTACCTCCCATAAGCCGAGGTTAATTACTTGTTTTTGCTCGTGTCTTGGCCGTTTTCATTGTTATTCAACACAATTGTCATACCTATAATTGAAAAAAAAAATTAATAATGTATAAAACTGTCATTGTCAACCAAGGAAGTTTGGAGGTTTAATTAAACCCCCTTGGTGTCAACAAATTTTCCGACATTTAAATTATCGTAGGGCGCCTTAACACCGTATTTGGTTCACAACACAACAAAGGTGCCAGATAAAGCAGTGCATTAAGTTCTCGTTAGTTATAGAATAAAAGTTTATATGTTTGTTAAAAATTAGTAATTTTTTTAATTAATTAGCTTTTATACGAGAATATATAGCAAAAATACGAGGTTACTTATAGTAGCCCAATGCTATCTGAAGTGAGCAGCGTCGTCAGAATCAACTTGTTATAAAAAAGTCAGACACCCTTTGTTTACACCCACAGTGCAGACAACACCGGATTCCTATTAACACCCACATAGTGTAGGCAGACGCCAGGCTTCCTGTTGAACGAGTATCACATACAGAGCTCCGACTAGAGCTTAAAACTGAACTAGAAGGATAATAGAGCCCAGGCAACAAGAGTTCTCGTCTCTGTCTTAGGAAAATGGAGGAATGAGTCAATATTCCCACAGATCTCCGCCTCAAAACAACTGCAGGCGGGAAAGGAAGTTCAGTCACGCAAAAAAATCCTGTTGCGAACCATGAACCCCGAGATTCAGGTTCTTGAATCCGAAGCATTTATGGACAGAATACACCTTTTCACATATACGTTGAGACATTGTTACATAACTATTTGATAAATTTCATAACCGAATGACAGAACACATATCGAATGACAATCTAAAATAACTGTTGGTGGTATGTCATTCTCCAATTGTTACATTCTCAAACTATATGTAGACTGTCGGTAAACTGTTCACGTCTGTCAACTTCATAACTTATGTCAATCATTTCCGTTAGCATGAACGAACAGTTATTTTAGAATGTCATTCGATATGTGTTCTGTCATTCGGTTATGAAATTTGTCAAATAATTATGTAACAATGTCTCAACGGATATGTGAAAAGGTGTAATGTATCGGTGTCTACTGCTTCGGGTTCACGAGTCTGAATCTCGGGGTTCGTGGTTCGCGACAGGACTTTTTTAGGTGACTGTACCTTGCTAAGAGAGATAGAGAGATAAATAAGTACTGATTGAGAGAGAGAGAGAGAGAGAGAGAAAGCCACACAGAGGTCATTCCCCTGTCAAAAATCTGGACAGACGAGACAGCTGACACTATCATTAATGCAACAGAAAGGTCGCCCAGAAAACCCAGCCCACACACCGAGGTACCTCAGCCCACACCCCGAGGTACCTCAGCCCACACACCGAGGTACCTCAGCCCACACCCCGAGGTACCCCAGCCCACACCCCGAGGTATCTCAGCCCACACCCCGAGGTACCTCAGCCCACACTGAGGTACCTCAGCCCACACCCCTGAGGTACCCCAGCCCACACACTGAGGTATCTCAGCCCCACACCCTGAGGTACCCCAGCCCACACACCGAGGTACCTCAGCCCACACCCCGAGGTACCTCAGCCCACACCCCTGAGGTACCCTGAGGTATCTCAGCCCCCACACCCTGAGGTACCCCAGCCCACACCCCGAGGTACCCCCAGCCCACACCCTGAGGTACCTCAGCCCACACCCCGAGGTACCTCAGCCCACACCCCGAGGTACCTCAGCCCACACCCCGAGGTACCTCAGCCCACACCCCGAGGTACCTCAGCCCACACCCCGAGGTACCTCAGCCCACACCCCGAGGTACCTCAGCCCACACCCCGAGGTACCTCAGCCCACACCCCGAGGTACCTCATCCCACACACACACACAGAGTTGCTTCAGAGGCCAGTCGTGAGGCTGTGAGGTGAAAAAAAATGTTATGGAAAATATATAATAGATATTGTGTGTTCCCAAGAGTGTTTGTGGTGGGTGTAGGGTGTAAATTGTGTTTCCCCTAGTGTGTATCCTGGTGGGTGTAGAGTATACAATACACTCTATGTCTTCCCCCAAAAGTGTATCCTAAGAAATTTAAAGTATACATTTTACCTAAGTCTCCCATAGTGTTGAGAGTATACAGTACACCCTGTCTCTTCTCCCGAGTGTATCCTTATTTGTTCCCTAGTGTATGGTGGTAAGTGTAGAGTATACAGTACACCCTGTCTCTTCTCCCGAGTGTATCCTTATTTGTTCCCTAGTGTATGGTGGTAAGTGTAGAGTATACAGTACACCCTGTTTCTCCCCTCAGAGTGTATGTTGGTGGGCCTGGAGGAAGGTACCTACTACTACAAGAGCCGAGGTACGGGGGACGTGTGCGGGGTGTACCTGCTGAGCCAACCAGACCAGGCCGTCCACGTCTCCTTCGACTACCTTGATGTTGACTGTGACACCCAAGGCCTCGTCAGCGTGAGTGTTGTGTTGTGTTGTGTTGTGGTGACACCCAAGGCCTCGTCAGCGTGAGTGTTGTGTTGTATTGGGTTGTGTTGTGTTGTGGTGACACCCAAGGCCTCGTCTGCGTGAGTGTTGTGTTGTGTTGTGTTGTATTGTGTTGTGTTGTGTTGTGGTGACACCCAAGGCCTCGTCAGCGTCTGTGTTGTGTTGTTGCTTCTCTCTTGTGTTATTGTTCATTATTGTGCTGATGTGGTGTTGGATTTGTTTTATTGTGTTTTGTTCTTACTGAAGTTGTGTTGCTAATATTTCAGGGGTGTTGCTGTGCAGTTGTTCATGGTGACCCCGAGTGTAATGAGTGTTGCATTGGTCTTATGAAGTACAGATCACGTGATGCTTGTGTTTACTGTGAGGCTGTGTTACTGTGATGCTGTGTTACTGCAAGGCTGTGTTACTGTGAGCCTGTGCTACTGTGAGCCTGTGCTACTGTGAGGCTGTGTTACTGTGAGCCTGTGCTACTGTGAGCCTGTGCTACTGTGAGGCTGTGTTACTGCGAGGCTGTGTTACTGCGAGGCTGTGTTACTGTGATGCTGTGTTACTGCGAGGCTGTGCTACTGTGAGGATGTGTTATTGTGAGGCTGTGTTACTGTGATGCTGTGTTACTGGTGAGGTTGTGTTACTATGAGGCTGTGTTACTGGGATTGTGTTACTGTGAGGCTGTGTTACTGTGAAGCTGTGTTACTGTGAGGCTGTGTTACTGCGGGCTGTGTTACTGTGAGGTTGTGTTATTGGGACTGTGTTACTATGAGGCTGTGTTACTGTGGGAGGTTGTGTTACTGTGAGGCTGTGTTACTGTGAGGTTGTGTTACTGCGGGCTGTGTTACTGTGGGGAGGTTGTGTTACTGTCGGCTGTGTTACTGTGAGGCTGTGTTACTGTGAAGTTGTGTTACTGTGAAGCTGTGTTACTGTGAAGCTGTGTTACTGTGAAGCTGTGTTACTGTGAGGCTGTGTTATTGGTGGACTGTGTTACTGTGAGGCTGTGTTACTGTGAGGCTGTGTTACTATGAAGCTGTGTTGCTGCGAGGCTGTGTTACTGTGTGTCTGTGTTACTTCGAGGCTGTGTTACTGTGATGCTTTGTTAGTGTGGGGTTGTGTTACTGTACACATGTTACTGTGAGGTTGTTACTATGGAGCTGTTACTGAGAGGGCGTGTTACTGTGTGTATGTTACTATGGAGCTGTGTTACTGTAAAACTGTGTTACTGTGAGGCTGTGTTACTGTATACATGTTACTGTTAGGCTTTTACTATGGAGCTGTGTTACTGTAGAACTGTGTTACTGTGTTACTGTACACATGTTACTGCTAAGCTGTTACTATGGAGCTGTGTTACTGTTATTAATTTTCCATATATGATGAACTCGAAATTATATATTGTTATTGTATTCCTCCATGACTCATATTGCTGTTGTAACATTATGATAAAAGGCATTTGTCACCACTACTATAACCCATTATATCTTGTGACGTCTATTATAACCCATGGTCTTCCTCTTCCTCCTCCTACTATAACCCATTATATCTTGTGACATCTATTATAACCCATGGTCTTCCTCTTCCTCCTCCTACTATAACCCATTATATCTTGTGACATCTATTATAACCCATGGTCTTCCCCTTCCTCCTCCTACTATAACCCATTATATCTTGTGACATCTATTGTAACCCACGGTCTTCTTCCTCCTGCTCATAACAGTTCGTGGACGGGTGGGAGCTGGGAGGCGAGCTCTTCCCCAGTGAGATAGACGCCCCCCTAGAGGGTCGAGTCCATGAACTATGTGGTAGGATCAAGAAGAAGGCATTCACCACCTCTGGCAACGCTGCCCTAATCCAGTATCGCGTCCCCTCCCGAGGTGATGGCTTCAGGATCACCGTCAGATACATCAAGAACCCCACACGTGAGTACTGCTTCGTATGGGTTCGTTCTGATACGCTCTAGGAACCACACGTGAGTACTGCTTCGTGTGGGTTCGTTCTGATACGCTCTAAGAACCTCGTGTGGGTACTGCTTCATCTGGGATTACTCTGACACACTCTAAGAACCACCCACACTCAGATCTCTCACAAGAACCCCTTACAGTCTCGAACGAAAGTCATTTTACATGATCCAGACTTCAAACTGCTGGATTGTGATTCTAAAGCTGCTGTTTTATCCTTGGTGTAGTGTCTCATATGGGTTCTGATACAGTCTCGAACAGGAGCGTTGACGGACTTCATAGGTTGTAGAAGTTATATTTTATTTTGACCTTCTGACCTTTTGATCTTTTGACCTTTCCAAAGTCAGGAAGGTCAAAGAATATATAAAGGCGTGGGGGAGTAATATTTAGGGCGTGGAAAGGAAATACTGTGGGCGTGAGAAGGAAATAATGTGGGCGTGGGAAGACAGTATTTTGGGTGTAGGAGGGTTATAATTTCTCAGAAGGATGAAGAGTTAAACATTTCATCAGAGTTAAGGGATAAACTTTTCCTGGAAGTGGAAGGAGGAGGAGGAAGAGGAAAGAAGAGGAGGAAAAATGAGAGAGGAGGCAATGAAAGAGATACGAGGATGACGTGATGGGAGAGAGAGAGAGAGAGAGAGAGAGAGAGAGAGAGAGAGAGAGAGAGAGAGAGAGAGAGAGAGTTCACATATATTCCTCAAACGCATTAACCTCCACAACACACAACTGCCCTAAGCTAAGCCCCTGCACTGTTTATATTCCTCTATTCATGTGAGGATAAGAGAGACATTTTTATTAATAATAAGAAAATAAAAGATAGAATATAGAGATGGATAAAGAAATAGTTTTTATTGTTATTTCAGTTTACCCCAAGAAGCGACCATCCATTATCTCTTGAAAGTTTATATACTTTGATTTGAGTTTTATACTTTTGTTTCTCATACTGACGACGACAACTTTGTGAATATATTTTCATACGTTACATAGAGTAGAGTTGTAATAATTGATGGAGGAAATACACCAAAATATTACTCCTCAAGTTAAAATACTTTTATTTAGGGGAAATATTCTTACTTAAAAGTATAAAGTACCTAAACTGAAACGTAATTAGTAGAACTAGGTGAAAAAAGCAATGCTAATTTTTCCAAGTGTAAAATTACGTACCCAACCACAACTTGGTGAACTAGAGGTGTCCCGGGCGAGTGATGTGTCATTTCTCTTAATTATCTTACTTAAATAAAGAAGTTATGCTATGTTTAAATTATCTTATATGACCCCTTATTCACTACAAACATGGTACCATAAAAAATTATTCCTCGAAGATCGCCAAACAGAAGCATCAAACACCCACGCTTATGAACATCCAATCAAAACAAACCCGAATACACCCACACACACCCACCCACACACACCCACCCACACCCACACACTAATACCTGCTAATTAACCACCATCTACCTATCTCCAAACCTGAACAACACGGTAATTGGATTGAAACCCCATTTTCTCACAACTTAGAGTCCTTGGCATTTTTACCTGTAACTTAGAGTTCCATTAATGAGAGTGAAACCCCCTTGTGAGGTGGATATAATGGAGTGTGGTGGATGGGCGCGCGTTATCTTGTGATCGGTGGGGGAGAGGGTGGGTAGGGGAGAGGGGAGGGGGAGGGGAGGGGGGAAAGTGGAAGTAAAGTGGGAGGGGGAAAGAGGAGGGTGAGTGGAATGAAGGGGAAGTAAAGGGGTAGGAGAAAGGAAGAGGAGGGTAGGAGGAGGAGGAGGGAAAGAGGAGGGTAGGAGAGAGGGAAAGGAGAGGGGAAAGAGGAGGGAAGGAAGGAAAGGTGAGGGTGGAGAAGGGGAGGTGTTGTCTTTTATACTCTAAGCCTCATGTCTATCTTGTAATAGGTCATGTCTGCACCCTTGACCTGTTGACCTGTATTCACGTGTGTCCTACAATAGGTCATGTCAACACGACTAACCTACACTCATTTCTACCCTACAATAGGTCATGTTAACACCACTAACCTTCACTCATTTCTACCCTACAATAGGTCCTGTCAACACCACTAACCTACAAAATTAAGTTAATATCTTTGTTTTTATACAGGATGAAGTTATATCCTATTAAAACACTTTCCTGTAATAAAAAAAATAATATCGATAATTCATTGATCAAAATTTTTTTTTTTTTTTGCACAATTTTTTGTTTACTAACTGCTTATTGGGAGGGAAATACTTCTATTCATTTAAACTGCTGCTTCCTGGGTGGCCACCCCCTCTCTCTTTCTCACTGTCCATCTCTGTATTCTCATTCTGGATACTTCTTTAACACCTCTCATCACCTTCCCCTCTCGTCACCATCACCTTTTCCCCTCTCGTCACCATCACCTCTTCCCCTCTCGTCACCATCACCTTCCACTCTCGTCACCATCACCTCTTCCCCTCTCGTCACCATCACCTCTTCCCCTCTCGTTACCATCACATCACCATCACCTTCCCTCTCGTCACCATCACCTCTTCCCCTCTCGTCACCATCACCTTCCCCTCTCGTCACCATCACCCCTTCCCCTCTCGTCACCATCACCTCTTCCCCTCTCGTCACCATCACCTCTTCCCCACATCATAAGTCAGGACCATTAGCAGCACCTCGCCCCGTGTCCACCTTCATTACCTGCTGTCGACACCTTCCCTTATTAAGAGAGACTCCGTATAATGTAATAGATCTGGCCTTTTATTTATCACCTTCTGCTGTGTCTATCGGGGGTCAGGAAGGTTTACTGTTCTTTTTCTTCTTATTTTCCTTTTTTCTTGTTCTATTCTTCATTTTCACTTTTTGTTGTTGTTGCTATTATTAATGTTATTATACTTCATCTTCTCTTTCTTATTCTTCTTCCTACAAATAATACATAATTGATGATCACTTTTTGATTTTAATGTAATATATCAATTTTCACGTCATTTACACTAAACCTCTTAAATTACACGCATCAGTTCCTGCAGAGTTGAAAGATTCGAAACATTTAAAAAAAATTACGTATTCAAGAGACATATTTCACCATGACGCCTCCCTCACCCCTCTAAAAAAAAAGATTTATAAATATTAAGTAACAGAGGAAAGTGTAGCTAAAATATCATAGCACCAATTCTCAAAACTTTAATTTCGTCTGGTAACAATAAGCAAAGAGTTCAGATCAAAAGAGCACTCCTGTTGGGGCCAGCTCCTTGTTACCAGACACAGGTGTTCATCACGTCCACTAAACTGAAGACAAAATAAAAATCACAGGAGTTTCATTAATTCTCACACACAGACACAGACACAGACACACACACACACACACACACACACACACAGACACACACACACACACACACACACAGACACACACACACACACCTGACTCCTGACCCGGATCTAAGTGAGGGTTTTGTTTATTGATGTTAAAATTTTCATTGAAGGAGTTTACAAGTTTACTCTCAGGATGGTATACAGATTGTTGATTGTTTGGTGCAGTTTACTTCGAGAGACTTTTGGGTAAACTGAAGCCCATTAACGATTCAATTGTGAGTTTCTTCTTTTTTTTTTTTGTAAGATATTTATTGGGTTGGATCTCTTCATGAACTTATTACCTTTAGTCAATTGTTTTATAAGTGTATCTTGATATTTTTCATAGAGATATTGCTTCACATGAGTGTTTCATAAGTGTGTTCTTGGATTTGAGTGTTTCGTAAGTGTATCTTGGATTGAGTGTTTCATAAGTGTATTTTGGACATGAGTGTTTAATAAATGTATCTTAGATTTGAGGGTTTCATAAGTGCAGCGTGGATTTGAGTGTTACATAAATATATCTTGGACTTGAGTGCTTCAAAGGTGTATCTTGGACTTGTCTCGTGAGGGCATCCCAAACACTTTATACTCGTGAAGGCAGTGAAGTTCCTCAAAAGCCCAAAGTTAGAGCAGTGTCGACTCTAGTGTTCCTGTGGTCCAAGACACGAGTCATTTGTTCTCCTTTACAACTTTGAATTTATTAAACCTATAATAAAACCGGGTACTTGTTTCACTCAATCCATGACGCTGTAGTGAAAGTATCTTAATACAATCAGTGTCATTACTTTCTATTACAACTGGATGAAGAATATTACATAACACATTACATTAACTAAACTCCAAGTCATAAAAAAAAAATACTATTGCCTACATCGGAAATTGTAAACAAATGCTCGCTTGACTGTTTATTTTGTCACACCAAATTTGTGAATGTTCCTACTAGCTAGATGTACACCCCCCCAAAAGTATCTTTACTTGAGGGGGCAGATGAATTTCAAAATGAACACTGCGACTCCTGATTTCTCGGTAGGGTTGTCAAAATCCTTCGTCCATTGTTTCATATTGTCTCACACAAAATCGTAAAGATACTTTTTTTGCAACGAGTGACAAATAGCTACGAAATTAAAAGGAACTATCGTTTTTTTTTATGGGTAATTAAAACAAATGTTCACTTCTTCACCCCCGTCAAAAAAGGATAAAAATTCCGGTGCCTCCTAAAGTGTGGGGCCTGGACAGTGACTCAATTTACCCCTCCCTAAAGCCACCGGTGTTCAGAGACAGTCACTTGACCTAGTACTAATGAAGATAATAAAACAAATGACACACGACTTGGAAGACAAGAAATGACTAACGCAAACCGTGTCTATCCCCGTCTAGTGTATCTGTCTCCGTGTATGTCTGTCTATCTGTCTACCCCCGTCATCAACTGGCACAACACACACGTAAAACAGTTTTTCTGCTTGTGTGAGGCATAAACAAAAGCATTAGAGCATCAGTATCACGTGGGGGAGAATTTACCCTCTTTGTGTTCATGATGGCCGCCATGCACACGCTGTTGTTGTTTACGGTCGCTTACTACACTTTACGATGCAGCAGAAATTTTGACTGTCAGCGCTATTATGAGATGATAGCCTGCCTCT